CCTATTGGTTCTTTTGGCAGCCCATGGCACTTTTAGTATTCTCCTCCAACACCATAATTCAAAGGCATCAATTCTTCTATGATCTTCCTTATTCACAGTTCAGCCTTCATATCCATATGAGGTTATTGAAAATACCATGGCTTGGGTCAGGCGCACCTTAGTCCTCAAGCTGACATCTTTGCTATTCAATACTTTAAAAAGTTCCTGTGCAGCAGGTCTTCTGATCTCTTGACTGCAGCTTCCGTGAGTGTTGATAGTTGATCCAAGAATGAAGTCCTTGACAACTTCAATATTTTCTCCATTGATAAGAATGTTGTTTATTGGTCCAGTGGTGAGGATATTTGTTTTCTTGACATTAAGGTGTAATCCATACCAAAGGCTGTGCTCTTTGATCTTCATCAGTAAATGACTCAAGTCCTCTTCACTTTCAGCAAGCAAGGTTGTATCATCTGAATATCATAGGTTGTTAGTGAGTCTTCCTTCAATCCTGACACCACGTTTTTCTTCATAGAACCCAGCTTCTCGAATTATTTGCTCAGTATACAGGTAGAATAAGTATGGTGAAAGAATACAACCTTGTCACACACCTTTCTTAATTTTAAAACATTCAGTGTTCCCATGCTCTGTTCGAACAACTGCTTCTTGGTCCAGGTACAGATTCCTCATGAGTACAATTAAGTGTTCTGGAATACTCATACTTCGCAATGTTGTCCACAGCTTGTCATGATCCACACAATCGAAAGCCTTTGTGTAGTCAATAAAGCATAGGTAAACATCTTTTTGATATTATCTGCTTTCTACCAAGATCCATCAGACATCAGCAATGATATTTATCGTTCCACAGCCTCTTCTGAATCCAGCTTGAACCTCTGGAAGTTTTCTGTCAATGTATGATTGTAGCCGTTTCTGTATTACCTTTAGCAAAACTTTACTCTCTTGAGATATCAAAGAGATTGTCTGGTGATTCCCGCATTCTGTTGGGTCACTTCTTTTTGGAATGAGCACAAATATGGATCTCTTCCAATCAGTCGGCCAGATAGTTGTCTTCCAAATTTCTAGGCCGAGATGAGTGAGTGCCTCCTGTGCCGCCTCACTTTCTTCAAAGATTTCACTTTTGATTCCATCAATTCCTGGTGCCTTGGTCTTTGCCAATTCTTTCAATGCATCTTGGACTTCCTCCCTGAGTATCATTGGCTCTTGATCATATGGTACCTCTTGAAATGGTTGAACATTAACCATTTCTTTTTGGTACAATGACTCTGTGTATTCCTTCCATCTTCTCTTGATGCACTCTGCATCATTCATTACTTTTCCCAGAGAATCTTTCAATAACGAAAGTTGAGGCTTGATTTTTTTCTTCAGTTCTCCCATCTTGAGAAATGCTGAGCTTCCCTTTTGGCTTTCTGATTCCAAATCTTTGCATATTTTATTATAATATTTGGTTTTATCTTTTTGAGCTCATCTTTGAAATTTTCTGTTTAGCTCTTGGGCCTCCTCATTTCTTCCATTTGCTTTAACATCTCTACACTGGAGAACAAGTTTCAGAGTCTCTTCTGACATCCATTTTGGCCTTTTCCTTCTTTCTTGTCTTCTTAATGACTTTTTGCTCTCTTCATGTATGATGTTCTTGATGTCATCCCACAACTCTTCTGGTCTTCAGTCTTTAGCGTTTGATGTATCAAATCTGTTCTTCAGATGATCTCTAAATTCAGGTGGAATAAATTCAAGGTCATATTTTAGCTCTCGTGTACTTTTTTCATTTTCTTTGTGTTCAGTTTGAATTTGCATAGGAGTAATTGATGGTCTGTTCCACAGTCTGCCCCTGGCCTTGTTTTCACTGATGATATGGAGCTTTTCCATCTTCTCTTTCCACAGATGTAGTCAATTTAATTTCTATGTGTTCCATCTGGTGAAGTCCATGTATATAGTCATCTGTTATGCTTTCTAAAGAAAATATTTGAAATTAACAAATCATTGATTTTGCAGAATTCTATCATGCATTCTCTAGCATCATTTCTATCACCAAGGCTGTATTTTGTCTAAGGTTTAAATTTCTTTATTTAGACTCTATTTGAATTAATAGGAGTTCTAAAGAGGTACATACAGGTAACATATTTGGATGCTGGCTTAAAGGTCAAGTAGTTCAAGGTCACAAAGAGTCACCCTGAGAGATATGTCTGATGATCTACAACTTCAAAAAATCAGTAATTGAAAATCCTATGGAGGTCAGTTTTACTGTGACAAAATTGACCCAACTGCATCTGATGTTGGCTTATTTGAATCAGAATGTGTTTCCCCTCTCTTTATATCTATATGCACTTCATTGTTCAACAAGTACATAGTCCATCTTGCAAATCACCAGTCCTCTTTCTGTGAATTGAGATTACAAATGAGTCTTATTGGGTCTTATTGAATCCATTTTGAATCCAGAAATAAGTCAGCATACAAATTGCTCTAGTTCCTCCTTGGGCATTCGACTCTGAAACAAGCCAAACTCGGAAGTTCTAAATCCATGATCTTGGGCCCATGGTCTGTCTAGACCACTTGTATTCACTAGCATTCCTAAAACCAAGAAACACCTCCTCTTCCTTTACACTCAAGTACCTAGTCTCCTAGAATACTTAGCACTTATACCCTGGAAATAGTAAATGTCCAGTACAATTTTTTTGCTATGAACATAAATCCACAGACCTTCTTTGCTCAGTACACTCACATTCTGTTTGAATATGGCACTTGGAAAAAGTTCATCATGCTTTTTGCTTGAGCTTCATTTTGAAACATGACACACTTTATCATATTAATGAGTTTGCTGATGACATCATGTTTGGAAAAGTGAAGAGGCAGCAAAAAAGAGGAAGACCCACAAGATGGATTGACACAGTGATAGTAACAATGGGCTCAAACATAATAACAATTGCTAGGATGGTGCAAGACTGGGCAGTGTTTCTGTTGTACATAGGGATGCTGCAACTCAACAGTAGCTAACATCACCAACACATATTATCTATTATTGCATGCATAAGAAGTGAATGGAGTTAAGAAGGAAAAAGGTCTCATTGCAATGCCACCTCATCGTCAGTTTCTTTTGATATATCAAATCACTATAGACTTTCTGTACAGATAGAGAAAGTGATGAAATAAATGTATATACACATAAAAACAGTTAATAAAAAATATGAAAAGTTTCAAAGTTTATTTTCACATGAAACATTATCTTTATGTATTACATTTTACTCAAGAGCTAAGAAAATTTTCTGCAAGTATGGATGAAGCACATATCTTTCCAGTGATATTATAATTTCTCACAACTCTATGAAAAATCAGATGTCATGATTTCAATCCACAGTCTCTCAATATAAAGAAAATGTAGGTTAATCTAATATATCTACATTATGAAAGGTAGTTATAAAACTCTAAAAAAGAAAATGCAGGTTTGTTGACACTAATTATATTCAGAATGTATCAAGGAATGGATTAGAAAACATTCCATAAAATATGCATTTTATAGATGAAGGCTCAGAAAATAGTTAATGAGCATTAGAACATTACTGAGACCTCATTTTTTACATAGCTTTGCTAATATTTACAAACATTTTATAAATATTCAGACATTTAAACTATATTTTCATAATGCATATTTGTGTTTCTGGATGTCAGTAGTTAGATATAGATGTCTTTAGTTGTACCAAAAAAAACCCAACAACACAATAATCAGACTAGAAAATGACAGTCGATTCACGTGCACAAGATATGTGACATAGTGCAGAAACAAATGGACAGTAGTGAATGGCATGCAGCTGGTCTCAAAAGATCAGGGGATCAGCAATTTTTACTACCCTGGGGACAGAATAATGATAAATGTGTTGGGCTAATTGGGAGCTTTGAATATTGAGTCTCCAGGGGTACAGACATGACAAGTAATCTGCCAGTGATATTTCACTTAAGAACTCTTTCCTTTCAGTCAAGTAGAACATATGACCCTCTTCCCAGATATTATCCTTTTTGCCCAAGACTCTTGTTGATTCCTATAAACCCTCTGTCTTTCCTGAGGAAAGCCCTTCAGTCTTCTAAGCCAGAGCAGATGTCAGCCATCATTACTGAGAAATGCCAGACAGGTAACTGAAGTTCTACTAGTTAATGGTTGGAAAGGAGGGCAGGTGTTTTACAACACGCATATGTAGGAAATGATGGAGCCTACACTCCCATAGGAATCTTGATTGTCTGTCAAATCCTTTATATATCTACAAGAATTCTCATTCTTCTAATTTGTTGTTCCATCTCTAAAATCACAAAGAAGGCTATTTTGTTGTTGTTAAATAATAACCTAACCCTTGTCAAAAATGATCACTGTGACAAACTTCTCTGATATTTAGATGAATTATTTGGTGGTGATGGCGGTAGAGATGGGTTTGTCAGATTAATTTGTCTTTCTTTCCTCATTGTCAGTGCATATTTGTATTATCTTGCCTGTCTGCCTCTGATATCTGGGGTGCAAGGTAGAGTCAGAAATGGATTCAACATGGTGTTTTCAAAGTCTATTTATTTCTTTTTTTAAAGAAGTACTAGATATTTAAAATGAGCATAAATACATGGATGTTTTTGTTGTTCCCTGCTGTTGAGTCAGTTCTGATTCATAGTGCCCTAAAAGGATTTCCAAAGAGTGGAAGGTGGACTTGTAGTTGGCAGTGCAGTGCTCATCATATCACACCACACTAGGACTCTGCTGTAGCATAGCACAGAAAATGTAATAAAAGCACAAAGACCTTCTCCATTCCCCTTCAAAAATATGTAATGATTGACAATCTGTACCATAAACTTTAGATTTATTTCTTTTCTTTTATAAAAAGTCAAATAATGTGCATACAAAAGTTACACTTTTTGTATTCATCTCCATTTCACTTCTTCCTTCCCTAACACAATATCTGTCTACAGTGTTGCTGCTGTTGCTGGCAGTCCAAAGACCACAATTTGATTGTATTGTCACCCCATATTTCCATCAGATTTATCAGCGATATACAACCCAGAAACTTCACAGATGATTTCAAATTCCTGCTCTTGGGACTGACAGAAGATGCAGAATTGCAGTGCCTGCTTTATATGTTGTTCCTCATCATGTATCTGGTCACTGTGCTTGGAAACCTGCTCATTGTCCTGGCTGTCAGTTCTGACTCCCACTTATATTCTCCCATGTACTTCTTTATCTCCATTCTGTCCATTACTGACATCTGTTTAAGCACAACTACCATCCCAAATATGCTGGTGAACATCCAGACACAGAATAAGAGCATCACATACACAGGCTGCCTCTGCCGGATGTACTTTGTCCTGGTTTTTAGTGGTCTTGAAAATTTTCTTCTTGCAGCCATGGCCTATGACCGCTATGTGGCCATCTGTCACCCACTGAGGTACACAGTCATCATGAATCCCAGCTTCTGTGGCCTGTTGATTCTACTTTCTGTATTCATTAGTAAGGGGAATGCACTGATCCAAAGTCTTATGGTTTTGCATCTCTCCTTCTGCAGAGAACTGAAAATCCTTCAGTTCTTCTGTGAACTTGCTCAGGTCCTAAAGGCCTCCTGTTCCAGCACCCTCATCAACAATATCGTGATATATTTTTTTGCTTGCATATTGGGTGGCATTCCTCTTTCTGGGATCATATTCTCTTACACTCAAATTATTTCCTCTGTTTTGAGAATACCATCAACTGGTGGAAAGTATAAAGCTTTTTCTACCTGTGGGTCTCACCTTTCAGTTGTTTTTTTATTCTATGGGACATCTACAGGTGTGTACATCAGTTCTGTGTTTTCACACTCTTCCATAAACACAGCAATAGCCTCAGTGATGTATGTTGTGGTACCTCAAATGATGAATCCATTTATCTATAGTCTAAGGAACAAAGACATAAAGGTAAGCTTGTCAGAACTCATTGGTAAGATATCTTCTTTTAAATGATTTTGTCATCTGTGAAAATACACTAATGTAAATAATTGTCACTCCTAAACTCACGTTGAGGATCAACATTTGCATTAGCTGCACTCAGTTTCATCATCTACCAAATGACATAATTATGTTTACTCTGTGGTCTGTGGTGGTTCTGAGATATTTGGACATCATGTGTGAAGAACTCTTTTTTGTTACTACTTAAGAAAACTCTCTGATAATAATATCATCAAATGTTAACGTGTACTTTCTTTTATTAGAATGACTTTATAGGTGGGAATGAACAAAAAGAGGACCGAACTCCTGCAAGGAGTGGCTTCATCTTAGAATTAGTTTTCCTCAGGTCTCTAGGTTGCTGTAGCAGACATAAATGTAATACCACACATGATTCCCATAGAAAAAAATCTCACCTTCCTTCATGTACCAAATGTGAACAGATATTTTATGGAGTCATCATATTCTCCTGTATTGGGTTAGGTGGTTGCTACTTTTTTTTTTCAGGTGGTTGCTTCTATAATTATATTTCATACCCTAAGGAACTTATTAATATTACTGACATGATAAAGAATGACTGTTACATTAATTGAACAAATGGCCAATGTAGAGGAGTTTAAACCTGACATATCCTGATGGGCCTAATTGCAATCACATTCTTAAAACATAAAAGTGAAAAGACACAGGTGAAAGTTGGAGGCAACAAAACTACAGAATGAAACCTAGGATCTTATGGCCACAAGCCCAGGAAAAGCTGGAAACCCCCATGTATTCATGAAGCTGAAAGATCCAGTGAATGCATTCTTCTCTCAAAGTCTTTGAACACAGTGCACTTATGCTGACACTTTGATTTCTGCCCAGAATCAGGCAGTGTTTTAGCCTCCAGAACTGTAAGACAATATTTTTTTCCATTAATCAACCAGGTTTGACAACATCTGTGAAGAAGTCTTTAGCAGCCAAATCAAACTAATGTACTCTTCTAACACTGACAAGAGTTGTTTTTGGTGTTTTTAAGTGCCATCTAGTTGATTCCAACTCATTGCATCCCTATATAGGGATTCCAAGGAGCAGCTGTCGGGCTTGAACAGCTGACATTGCAGTCCAAACTGTCCTTGCAGTCCAGCCCATCATCCTGCAGCGCCACAGCAGGACTCCACCAATCATTGCCCATTAAGAAGTTTTATATGATCCTACTTTCATTAGTGCAGCCAGAGTGCTCCTTGGAAGCCAACATGTCCAAACTTCGTCTCTCATAATTCAGACATATTGTCAGGAGGGACCAGTCACTGGAGAAGGATATCATGTTTGGTAAGTTGGAGGGTCAGAGAAAAAGAGAAAAACCCCTGGTGAGATGGATTGGCCAAGTGGTAGCATCGATGGATTCAAATATAGCAGCAATAATGAGGTTGGCCCAGGATCGGGCAGTGTTTTGTTCTGCTGTGCTCAGGGTTGCTGTGGCTCAGTACCAACTCATGGCACCTAACAACAACAACTTTCATTGTTTAAGAATGTTCCTATAATCCTGTCAATGAGAGTATAATCATATAAAGCTTTTTAATATAATTCCTGACATGAATTATAAATAATTCATAGATAAGTATTAAACTGACCAACTGGTGAGTGATTTGTTTGGAAAAGGAACTGCAATCACTGCAAGCACATAGTGTAATGATTGCTATATAGTTGTTGTGGTGGTTATAAGAGGAGAAAGATCAATTTGCAGAAATAGGGAGAAAAATTTTTGCACAAGTACAAAAATAGCTATTGTGATATAAGTCAGAATCATCTTTCTGGCTATAGAAGTGAGAACAATGGAGTTTTCATGGAAGAATTGTCACAGTTCCAGGAGAACCTTTTCTTCTTTTCATCAAATGGGGTAAAGGAGAATAAGGAGAAACTGGAACAGCTGGTGGACTTGTAAATTGGTATAAAATCTATGATGTCTCCTTAAAAACTTGGAAATACTTTGACTACTACATGTTTATCATAATTATGACAAGAATAGATAAAATTATACACACATCATTACACCACTATTCACAATATCACAAAGATGGAAAAAACCTAAATGTCCATGAACAGGTGAACACTGGACTACTATATGTGGTAGTGAATGTTTTGTATGTACTTGATTGGGCCAGAGTTCTCAGAGTTTCTGCAGCTAAGATATGGTTATCATCCATGATGTAATCTAATATCACTTCCGTGATGAGTTTTGCTTTGAGTAGCCAATCAACTTAAAGTTAGTTTCCTCAGGGTTATGACATTCTAGCATTGCTTACTTTTTTTGCTCTGTCCAGATCCCATTTCTAGTTGGTCATCTGAACTTCAGTTCTTAATATTAAATAAACAGTCTGCCTTATTGCTTGCTGATCCTAGTCATTAACAGCCTGACATCTTAGCCATTTTAGCCATCTTAGCCATCTTAGCCTTGGATTCATTCATCTCTGCAGCCAGAAACTGGTCATCTGACCTGCCGATCTTGGGTCATTTGAATGGGCAGCTCTGTGAGTCAGGGGAACCCTTCACTCTAATATCAACTCAGTTACTAGGAATTTGCTAACCTCTTCAACAGTAGGAGCAATTTCTGTGAAAGAAAATCTCTCGCTCTCTCTCTCTCTGGTAGCATAGTGGTTATGAATCAGGCTGTGAAACACAAGGTCAATAGTTCGAAACTACCAGCTTTTCCACGGGAGAAAGATGAGGCGTTCTGCTCCCATAAAGATAAACCCGGTGCAGGGTCACTATGAGTCGGAACCGACTCCACGGCACTTAACAACAAT